GTATAGCCTAAGTTCTTCCTATATATTTTATAAACTAAGAAAAATAAAATTATTTTAATAAATATATTAATAAAAAGCTTACGAAAAGATATATTTAATTTTTAAAATTTCTTATAATATTACCCTATTCTTTATATTAAAAAAGAATAAAAAAAAAACTTATTATTAATTATAAAAGACTTAATAAAATTATAAAAAATTATTACTTTTATTACTTATTACTAAGCTTAAAAATTTATTTTATAAAACTAACTAGTTTATTATAATAAATTTTAAAAATATAAATTTTAAAAAGTATTTAATTAAATACGAATTAAAGAAAGAGATAAATAAAAATAGTATTTTAAACTTATAAAGGACTCTTTAAGTATCTTATTATACTTTTCAAACTTATTAATACTCTAATAACTTTTAAATAATAATTAATTACGTACTCTAGAGTTCGTTAATATCTTTATTATTATTTATATTAATAATATTTTTATTTTCTTTTTAACTTTAAAATATATAAAAATATATTTATATAATATTTTAAAACTTTAAGATACTAAGTTATATACTGAACCCTCTAAATATAAATTCTATATATAAAAGTAAACTTCTTTAAATATATTATTATATTAAAATAAATCTATATATAAATATTAAAAATAGAAGTAATTAGGGACTAGCTTATACTATAAAACGTTAAGGATATATAAGATTCTTAAAATTTATTAATTTTTATTAATAATTCTTAAGGACTATATTAACGTTATTAAACTTTTTAATAATTTAATATAAAAGATACCCTATTTATTTAAGACTTTAAGTATAAAAAGCTTTTATTAAAGTTAAGAATATAATTATTTCTAAACTAATTATTATAATCCCGACCCTTAAAAACCCTTTAAAATCGAGACTAATACCTTAAACTTTACTATAAAAATAGTTCTAAAATAATAAAATAAATAAAAAAAGCTTTATTTATATTATTTTTATTTTAAAATATTTTATAAAATAGAACTAAATTAATAAATTTATAATAAAAACTAATAATTATTATCAAAATATTCTAAAAATAAAAACTATAATTATTTAGAACTAAATACAAAATTATAGTTTATATAAATTATAAAAACTTTACAAACTTTATAATAAATAAGAATTTAAATAAATAATAAGTTAAATAGAGCGAATTCTATTTAAATATAATTTCCGAATTATTTATTAAAAAGGTTTAAAAATAATAGAATAAATACTCTTAATAAAAACCTAATTATAAAATTATAATCCCTGAGGAAACGTGTTATTTTTAAAAAAAGATAATAGCTTTATATTAATTATAAAGCTTTTATAATAACTAAAAGGATTAATACTAGCCCGATTAAAAATAACCCCTAAGCTTATTATAAAAATTTATAATATATTCGTATATAGTTATTGAGTTATTAAAATATAAAAATAGATTTACTAATATTATAATAAATTTATTATATATACTAAAATTAAAAATAATTAAGGATTATATAACTTATAAAAAGTAAAAATAGCCCGCATAAGCTTTATAACGAGCTATAACTATTATAACTATTTATAGAAGTATAATAATTAATTTTATAAGACTTTATTATTAAACTACTAAAGTCTAAAGAACTATTTACGAACGTATAATATAAGAATATTTTAATTATAATTAATTAACTTACTAAGTTCGCTTATTTTATATTTTATAAAGAAGCTAGTAATATAGAAGAGTTAATATATATATTTTTAAAGTCGTTATTACTAATTATAATAAACTAAAAGAAATTATTTTTAATAGAAGCTCTCTATTTATTTTAAAGTTTTAAAATCCTTAATTTTATAACTTAGTATAAATTATAAACTATTAACTTTTTATTTATAAACTAATAGTTAAATAAAAAAATTAATTAGATTTTAAAAACTTATTTCTGTTATTATATAAATTATAATTAAAATAACTAGGTAATATTATTATTAATAACTTAATTTATATATAATAATATAGTTAATAAAAGTATAAGAAAATCCCTATTCTATCTAAACTATAAATACTAATTAATAGTATATAAAAAGTATAATAAAGATTATAAGCTATTAAAATAATAATAAGTATAATAAAACTTAAGGAAATTTAAAAAAATATTTTTAAATCTCGAGTTTATATACTAATATATAAAAAGAATATAAATAGATTAAAAATTAGAGAACTAACTTTAAAAAAGAGGAGATAATACCTACCTCTTTCGCTATAATATTAAAATAAAATAACTAAATAATAAATTAAATTATAAAAAACTTAAACCTTTCGAAATTATTTAAAAAGTCTTAAACGTTAACTATAAATTAAGATTCCTAGATATAATAAAGTATTATTTAGTTTTTTATATTTTATTTTTTAAACTAGTGCTTAAGGGTTTATATATAAAAAATTATATTATTATAGAACTTAATTATTATAGCTAGCTAGTTATAATAAGTATATTAGTAAAAGTTAAGGTTACGAATACTAAGTAAATAGTATTATAATCGTAAAAAAAGAGACGGCTTGCCTGCCTTCGGAAATGGCGGACCCAACCTGCCATTTTCGGCACCTGCCACATCGGGTAATTCTCGGCCACGCAATCCCTCGCCGTTTTTGCCAGCCCATAAATGAGCGACTGCCCCGCGCAACGCGCCAATGTATCTCGAAGTTTCCTTTGTATCTTTTCTCGCAACGCCTGTTTGCGCCACTTAATTGTTTCGCCGGCCTCAGCCACAACCACAGTCCACGACACTCGCCCATCATCAACATCCAGTCAAGTCCCGCTCGCGATCATCGAGAACACGATAAACTACGGCTTTTCCTTACATCAGCTTGACCCGTTGCTTCGACGACTAAGGTACTTGGTTCCCGTTACCTGCACTTATTTTGCCCATTCCAAGTACAGCGCGCCTTGCACAGTACGCCTGGTTTTCTCTTGTCGGAATAGTGTTACTAACTTAGAGTATTGCCGTTTATGGTGTCCTTGCGCCTTGCCGATCTCGATCATAGTTGATATCGAAAATTTCTAACTGCCCGATGGGACGCCTCACACCCATATTGCCGATTCTCGAGGGCTTCCCTCGCCATCTGCCTCGCCTCCCCGTTCCTCTCGCCTCATCCTTGACCCAAAATCACCTTTTTCGGTAATGCAAGGACTCGGGAGGGTCATGGGATAAGGCATAGGACCACACCACTGGTCAACCCTGGTTCAAAGCATTACGACAATTCCCGCGATTGCTCCGTTGTGGCTGCACGCCGCAGGTTACTCGCCGTGTGCCTCAGACCCAACATTGCCGTTTCTGGTAATTTGACAGCTCAGCGGGGTCCATGAGATGCGTTACGAGATTCTTCAGTCATGCTACAGGGCGTGACCGAGAAATTATCGTCTTTGTCAATCCTCAGGCCTTCAACCCTGATCAGCAGTCGAGAATTGCCGAAAAGGGCGAAAGTCAACGCATGTCGCGGAGATTGGCATCGCGCCGGGCTACCAGTCAAGACATGACGGGGTCTGTCTCACTGGGAGTCTCTGACAGAAGACACTACGGCTTACACCACAAGAATTTCCATATTGGGTAATTCACGTCTCAACGGCAGCCTGGATGTTCGACCCACCTGTCCCTGGACAAAGTGCCACCGACGACGACGGTCTCGTATTCGTATGTACGGAGAAGGTTTGATAGCCAGGACACGTACACCCTGCGGCGATGCCGGTGGGCATTGACTTGACAATCACACCCTTGGGACGGCCTGCTTTTCAGAAGCTTGGCCGTGTAACACCGCCCTGGAATCAGGATATGCCTCGCGAGAAAGAAAGCTTCTTACCGAGACCCCGAGGTTTAGCCCCTGCTGTCATCTCGAAATATCTGTCAGAGTGCGGCAACTCGGGAACCGCCGCAAACAATAGCGGAGCTGGCCATGACACTGCTGTCTATCAACGGAGTGGATCGTTTCCCACACAGAGCTGTCTGAAGATGAGAAGCGAGGGCTCGCCGACGAGACTGCTCCCTTGGAACTCTTTCATGCCATAGGCACAATACCAACCCTCGAACCTGGATGTTCGTATGTTGGAGTTTAGAGAGACGAGCGGCTAGACTTCATCGAGGCATACCTAGCGGCAGCTGAGCGGCTTTCTGAGTCAACGAAATTGTTCGGAGAGGCAATTTCATCTTGGCTGTGCCGAACACTCTGGTGTGCCTGGTTTGCCTTCGACAAAGTGTTGCGAAATTCCCAATAGCTTGAACGCATCATGCGTCCGAGGTAGTATCCCGACGGATCGTACGGTTGATTCTGCAATCAAGTGGCTACCTTCAGGGGGAGGCGCAGATGACCTCTCCCCCTTAATCAGGAGGCCAGACTTTACGCTGGCTTGCAAGGTCAGGTAGGCTCGATGGAAGGTCAACGATGGAGGGTCAATTTCAGCTAGACAGGCCTCACTCGGTGCAACTACAAGTCCGAGAGGTCACTTCAACGGCTGGACCCAATCTCCGTCGACACGTATGATTCACGGCGCCAAGAGCGGAACTGGCCGGAGAGATGGCCCTGGCCATCAACGTTGTGACGTGGTTTACGAGCTTGGCCATGGGCCTTGAGCTAAAGGTCAGTATGTCAATGACCTTGATAAGCCCGGCAGTTGTTCCGTCACAACTATTCTGAAAGGAGGAACAATGTCGTCAGGACTTCAGGGACATGTCCGAGGTTCAGAGGGAAGAGTACGCGCCATCAGGGGGTCACATGGCAGAGGCGTTGGCCTGAAGCGGTGCGACGACCGACGCTAGATTTGGCTTCCCATGTGGGTTTGGAAGCTGCAAGCTCCTCCATAGTCTGGTGAAGTCATGGTTTGATCCGATCGTTCAATTGAGCGACTAAGTCTTTCGCCTGGAAACAACCTATATAGCCTCGTCACCCCACGATCATGGCAGCAGACTGATTCTATACTGCTCATACTCGACCAAATCATTCTTCTTTCGCCGACATGCCCCAACCTCACTTCAAAGAAACACATAACGTGCAATCCTATGCGAAGTTCTATCAAGAAAATGAGCGTAGACAGACACAACGCGAAGAAAAGAAGCGTCAACACAAGCGTAAGGAGCAGCGAAAGCAACAGCAAACATCAACACTGCAATCAACAGCGCTGGCAACGTCACTCGAGCGAGATACAGTGGCCTCAATTGTGAAAGAGAGTCTGGCCTCAAGCCACAAGTCGGGTACGCTCGCATCATATCCTTCGAGGCATTGACTTACAATAAGCAGATGCTTCTCCCGACTTGTCTCTTAGTATCGACGAACCGGATCCCAATCTGAATGGGACTTTTGAGACAGTCGAGTCATACACTGGCCATATGGGTGATCTCGCACATGCAACCCAGCCTCTTTTCTCGATCCCCGAGATCGATGGGTCTACAGCGGAAACCGCCAAATACACCACACCTGATGGAATCCAGTCTTCGGAACACTGGTCGCCTTGTGCCTCTGTACACCCCCAGCCTCCCACAGGATTGGCCTCACAGGAAGTCGCAATTGCCTTTCAACAAGACAAGCAGCCCCTCGCTCCCGATCCAGTTAGGTTTTCAACCGGGCAACTCCGCCTAGCACGTTGTGTTCCAGATGACGTGAACGAATGTGAGAAATCAGAAAAGAAAATATGCAAGACGATATCCTAAACTGACAGGAACTCTCACAGACATTACCCAAGACAAGGAGAGGAGCGAGAACGGCGATACCTGCGAAAGCAGTGATGACGATGGCTCAGCCAACGACAACCACGGGAGCTCTGATGATGACGACCCCGATTCTGAGAGTTTTTCTCCGGACAGGGCGGTTCGAGGACCTCAAATTACGGATCAACACTGGCCGGGGACTTTCTCAACAAGCAATTCGGCCGCGCCCGACCCCGCGAAGAGCCTAGTATACGCAACAAGTTCTGTTTCCAATTCCTCTTGCGTTGATGTCGCCGCTTCACTGAACGTAGCGGAAGACTGTCAGCCAGACATTTTTGCGCTTCCTACTCCATCCTCAGATGATGCCTCCGTCTCACAGCAAGGTGGTGATGCCGTCACCAGTAGGAGAAAACGAGGTCACGAGGCAAGCGAAGATGGGCTTGAGAGCGAAGGTCTTTGCCTTCCTAAACGAAAGAGATCACGAAATCCCACTAAGGCAACTGCAACAAAGACTCTTACAGCGAGGACTTTGCGCGCACTCCCTTCTCGAGTCTTGGCAGAGAAGCCAGGCAGTAGGGGTGTCCCAGCCCAATTCGAAAGACATATCCGGCGCTCCTCAAGATCAAAGCCATGGTCTCACGGCTCTAGCCCCATGAGTTGTCATGATGTTCAGTCGCACATTGATAGGCTTCCCTCGTTAGACGTGGACAGTACCTCAAATAGAGGGAAGCGGACGAGCACACGGCGGGGACGACCGCAAATTATGCCTGAGATAATTTTGCCGGGTTCATCTCATTCCAACCATTCTTCAGGAAAACCTAGTCATCAGAAGAATGGACAAGCTTGCCTTCCTCCTGCCGCCCCCACAGTGACTTCATCCTCAGTCACATGTCACACCTGTGGCTTCTCTGCAGAGCATTTGCTACAGATGAGCGATATTGTCGAGGCTCTCACTCGAAGTGGGGCTGAGCTATCTGGCAATGCAAGGGGATTAGGCATACATCAGATGTTCCACGGGTATGTCAGAGATTATGCTTCGAAGAGGCTCCCACACAGCGCAATCATCACGGGAAGCAGCGACCCCTTAAATGGAGCAAAACAAAAACAGACATGGGAAGCAACTGTCGGGCTACCAAACTCGGAGATATTTCAAGATGACGAAAGCTCAGATGAAAACTCTGAAGACAGCCACAGCGAAAGCGCAGATGTAAATTCCGATCAAGGTGACAACCCTGATGTTCCTGAGCAAAAGGGCAAGAGACATAAGCGTTTTCGTTGGACGACTTTGGACGAATTACGTCTGCGCGCATGGGTTCAAGAGGAAAAGGATTGGTCGTGGATTGCTGGTAAATTGCAGCGAAGCGAGCAGGCTGTCATCCAGCACTGGGCGATTATGGTTAAGCAGGGCAAGACGGGAAGCAAGTGAGGTCTATCAAAAGTTAGTAGTGCCCCGCCCTTAAAAGGTGTTTGGGCAACCCTGTTAGTTTTCAAGAACCCCGTAAGTTACTCTCTTCTGCCTGTCCACAGCAGCAACCCAGAAACTGTAAACTCTAGCTTTTCGTCGACCTTGGTGGACGATGGTCTTCCAACTATCAAAGTTGAAGATGGCAGTATTTAAATTCGCATCTGAAGATAGTGACGTTGCTAGTCCCTGATCCCTAGTCCAACTGCCCATCATGAACAACATCCAGACACCAGAATTCTACCTTCAGGCATGCCTTGCGCTAGGCCACCAGCCTCACCACTTCATCCACAATCAACCGAGATGGTGGTGGCTGCTGCTGAGAGGCCTCAACTTCAACCGACCAGGTCGACCTCTTGTAGCTGGCGGACGGATTCCGCAGCGAACCAAACCAATAGTCTTCATCGTGGGCCTCAAGGCCCTGCTTCACGAATCGGATATACCTCATCCGGAGCAGATCATCGACGTTCAGGATACTCTCAAAGACATCCTGGCCCAAAGCAAAATAGGGCAACCAAGCATGTACCAAGCAGAGTATCTCGAGTACTTCAACGCACCAACACTGCTGATGTGGGAGCAAGAGGTGATGGACTCGATTCCTTGGTTGTGGCTTTGGAAGGGTTGACAGGGGGGATCAGCTAGCCTATCGGGATGTGCAAACCTAGCTTGAGTAGTAATGTATCCTATCAAAGGACGAAAGTCCACACTAAATGTAAACCATCCAGAGGAAGTGAGTCCTATCTGTGCGGGACGTAATTAAATCGTCTTCCCAAAAGGGGCAAGGCGACGGAAAGACAACAAGATTGATTGCGGACTGCATCTAGAATTGCCTGACCTTCCCCGAACCACTCTTCGACCAAACGAGGTTCCCATAAGTATGAGCGACATACTTTCTTATCGCCTCTGGAATAAACATACTCCAGCCACATGTCATGCTCGTTGATTTTCTGCACAACATTTGCTGCGGATGAGCAATACCGTATAGACTCTGATTAGGAGCAACAATTACTTGGCTAGCAGTAGGGAATGGCCGTGCTCAATCTATTCTCTACATTCATTGCAACGAGGAGATTTCCGAATGATAGAATAAGACTGTGAAACAGTAATGCCTAATATGTTACACTCCGATACAGTCACGGGTGACGGAAGCTCAGACGCCAACACCAGGGACGACAGCAATAGCGACGTCCAGAGCGTTGGTTCGTGAGGGAAGATTCTCATGGATTGCTGTTGAATTGCGGCGAAGCGAGCAGGGTGCCTTTCAACACTGCTATCATGAAGAAAAGGGAGGAGGAAATGTGAAAGATATGAGGGAAACATTGTCTCACAGGCATCCTGTACTGTCTCTCAGATGACTGAAATGGATGTAATTGACCTATTTCTGCTACGAAAGCAGCCGGATCTCGTGGTCTTCGTGGTTTAATTTTCTTTCTTTCTTTTGTACATTTGACCGGCTCTATTGTCTCCTGGCCTGAGAGTTCGGCGGTAAAGTAGTAAGAACTGACCGCGACAGGTCGATAATGGTTTGATGTTCCGCCAGGCGAACTTCTGATGTTACATAGCCACGGATATTTCCGCAGAACCAGATCCCACGAGTGCAGGATGTAGCGTTGGCGCAGTCGGTGACATCAGTCTCCCGGACGTAACGGGCTCCCAATAGGTTCACGGGTCCGTACACTCACGGGTCTCCCGTTAGTCAGCAACATCCACTGTATTTGGCCGTCTCAGCAGGGGCTGGGGCGGTCTCGTTGGGGACAAGATTTTGCACTCCTTGTGTGGCCTTCTAAATGGCATTTACTACATGTAGGCAGTCGTTTCTCCCCCTTTCTTTCCAACCTGTCCAAAGGCCCATGTTGAGGCTCATTTCGAGGGCCTCGAAGCTCGTTTCGCGTTTGGTCCCGCGCCACTTCCCGCTGCCGATCTTGAGATTCATGAATGTCTAGGGAGTCGAGATCGTCTTGAGACTTGCAGTTGTCTTTAGTGTCGTGGTTGTGTTGAGAGAATCTGGCTTCCCGGTGTTTGAGAAGCCAATTCTCGCTCCAATCTTCCTTGCCTAATACCGAGAATTGGCAACCAGAACGGAATCGATTGCATGAGTAGGTGATTGTTGATCGGCCAGACCTTCCAATAGTCGACCTTCGCACAATGAATCTATAGCCTCTGATTGCTGCCAAGATATGCAGACTGACCAACAATTCTTCTTGTGATGAGTAACACGCTTGAGGGGGAAGGTCGTTGAAATGCATCGGTAGAGATATGATGGTGGCCACCTTGTGATTGATTGTTGATCAGTGTTGAGACGGCCAAATACAGTGGATGTTGCTGACTAATGAGAGACCCGTGAGTGTACAGACCCGTGAACCTATTGGGAGCCGACGTAACGGACAGGTTTAATCAGCTTTGTGTGGCTCTCACGTGACTCTGAGTTTGGGGTACGATAGTTGTCGGGGCGACATAAACCAAACGTGACGAAACATATCCAAACAATCCAGATTGTCGAGACTCAAGGGTCGATTTGATTGATCGCTAGGTTTGTGCCTCACATATGTCGGGTCAAAATGGAAGATGAACTCGCAAAACTACGACAACAGCTTCTGGAAGCGCAGCAACTTCGCAACGAAGAACAGCGCCGACGCGAGGAAGAACAGCGTCGACGCGAGGAAGAACAACACCGACGCGAGCAGGCTGAAGAACTCGCGAAGGCGGCACAACCCCAGACCCTTCCAAAGTATCTCGCATCTTGTCACTCGCTCAGCCTCGCCATTGAGGTGGTGACCGATCGCTCCTTGACTACGAAAGGCGATACGACCAACCCGACAGGCCGGATTTTCCCTCGACGAATCATTCCATGGGATGACTTCGCGACGAGGCAACAGGAGATATGGGATCAACTCTCAAATTCCCGCACGTTCGCTTCGAGGGCCGTGTTCCCATCGCCGCATCAATTAGACTACGTCAAGTCTTTGATCAACCCGATCAGCAGCGAGACTGGCCTCCGGAACTTCCAGCGCGATACGGTCGAGAACGCGGTTCAGAAGCTGGTCGGTGAGGCATATAGCGATGCGCAACTCCGAATTGACATCGGCTTGCAAGGGACCGTGACTTTCGAGAGCCATACGAACCTCGGTCAGACAGACGAAGCCCTATCCGAGCCTATGGAGCAATTGTCCATCGAGCGAGATAATATCGACGCTGCGGCAATTCCCTCAAGGCTACCGAGCCGCAAGCCCCGACGAAGAGCTAGGGGCAAGGGCAATCGGGCAGATCAGTTCTGCATATACCGCACCTCCGACGGCCGAAACAGTCCGGCCCTGGCGATTGAGTACAAGGCACCGCATAAGTTGCGACGCGACGAGGTCGTCACCGGTCTGGAGTCGGAGATTAGACCCGAACGCGACGTAATAAATAAGGACGGTGAGGGGTTTGGGTTTGCGTCAAGATCGCTTGTTGCAGCTGTTGTGACCCAGCTCTTCTCGTACATGATCGGTAAAGGCATCCAGTATGGATATGTGTGCACAGGAGAGGCATTCGTCTTCCTGCACATTCCGGACGATCCCACCATCGTATACTATTCCGTGCGCGTGCCTAACTTGGATGTTCTTGATGATGACGACGATGAGAACAGGCTCCATGGTACAGCCGTTGCACAGGTCTTTGCCTTTATCCTTCAGGCTCTGCGTGCTGACCCGCCCCCACAGTCCTGGCACGATACTGCCGCGAGTCTCGACACCTGGGCTGTAGAGTACGACGACGTGCTAAGGAACATACCCGAAACAGTGCGCAAGGATAAGGAGGCGCGCATCTCTCCGTACAAGCCTCAACGCTGGCGAGGGTTCAAACGCTCGCCGGTTCAAACGCGGTCTCGGTGCAAGCAATTCGACGGCAACGCAAAGCAGCGGGATGGTAGTGGTGACGATGAAGAAGGAACTCCTCCCTCACCAACGCCGACACGACTGATTCTCAATGGCGAAAAGGCTCTCGCGAAGTCGGGTGCGGGCTCGGCCGGTAGACAGGCACAGGAGCACCGACATCATAGCCAAGGGAAGCAGATGAACATAAAGGATCGTCAGTTCTGTACGCCGCAATGTCTGCTCGGATTAGTGAACGGCCGGCCCCTGGATGAACGCTGCCCGAATTTCCAAGATCACGGACATCAGCACCTAAACCGACTGGACTTTCTGCGACTCATCCGCATTCAACTAGCCGAAGACCGTGGTTGCGATGCTGACGTCGTACCACTTCACCTGTCCGGCCTTATCGGCACACTCTTTAAGGTCAGGATGTCCTCCCATGGCTACACTCTTGTCGCCAAAGGCGTTGAGACACTCGACTTGGCCCTCCTTCGCCGCGAGAAGAAGGTGTACGATAAACTCCGCTTGATTCAGGGAAAATACGTTCCCGTTTGCTTGGGGCGGACTAATTTAACCCTGCCGTTGTACTACGACAGTGGCGTATACAAGCATGTCTTGTTTCTCAGTTGGGCCGGAAAACCTCTGTTTGACTCTACCAATCAAGCAACCAATGCAGATATTGACGCAGTTACCCGGGCGTATAAGAACCTACATCGATTAGGTGTTCTTCATGGCGACGCAAAATTACGCAATGTCTTACGCAATGAAAGTACAGCAGGTCAAAGTATTGTGGTGGTGGACTTTGAGCGGGCGGAATTCAGTCCCCGCTTACCTCTCGGTTTGTTCAGTTCGAACCGTCAAAATAAGAAGAGGAAGCGGGGGATATTGGGGAAACCAACTGCATCAGACAGCCAAGGGAGCAAAAGATTTGCGGAAGAGCTAGACTCCGTGGTGTGTGACATGTCGAGATATGTGGACGCCGGACAGCGGGAGACAGCCGTCAATGTCGCCAGGAAGGTGTAAGCTTTTTTTCTAGAGGGTTAACCGTTCTAGGTTCTTGTTAGGTTGCATGTCTGTCAATGCCGGGAATAGTATTGAGAAGACAGCTCACGAAGCGTCTAACCTTGGCAAACCGTTGCAAACGCGATCCTCTCACCGGCTGCAAACATGCACATGCAAACACAACTACCTCATTCTACCAGGGGGCTGCACTTGCATTGGTGTGTTGGTTGATATTCAATCAGCCAATAGCCTTTGTCCTATTGTATTCGGCGTTGTCATGCGTACGCCATAGAGATTCCGGGCGGGCTCTCCACCGGTACCGGCATCGATACCGGGGAGGTTCCCAATCCTCGAACCATATTCTGCGACTTGAAGACGAGAATCAAATGGCCGACCATGTGGCTTTTCTGGCTCATAGGTCCGAATGATTTGCGGGGATTGCGGCAGTTCGCATTGAGGAGCAGCCAAACCATCAAGGACTTATCATACGACTTGCTCGTAACGAACTACAGCGAACAGAGGAAGTCGAAAGTATACGGGGTCTACTTCGGGTTCTGAAGGACTCCGCAAGTGAAGGAATGTTGGCTGTTCTGGGTGAGGTTCGACAGTAGCTGAGTAATCAAGGCCTCAAAAGAAGCACTGTAGAAGAACGACTCTTCGATGAAGCACTAGCAATCAGTGAGAATCGGGTTCTGCAGAGATGGATGCCGTCCTAGCACCCTGCACCATCTCACTGCAGTGTGAAGCATAGACAGAAGAGGGAACCCTCGAGGCCTACATGGTATGCAACGCGCATGTAAGAGGTCTCTCGAAAGTCCGCCAAAGCCGTCATCGCAATCATTTCGCATTGTCCTAACTTGCATTACCAGGGACGAGAACAGGGCTCTGTCAACTCTGACGGGCACTCAGTTTCCCCAGCTCCAAATTGATTCTGCCACTCCCAAAGCAGTTTGACCCCACTTATATTTCTGCCGTCCTCGCGGATCTGATTCCCAATTCAGCGTTTCTGCCATACCCAGTTCAATTCTGCTATCTGCATGGGTTATTGCACCTATCAGCGAGCTTCGATGCATTCTGCCGCCCCGGTTCTATTCTGCCAGCTCGAACTCTGCTTCTGCCGTTCCTTCTTAGGATTCTGCCGTGTTTTTCTACCGGCCGTCTAAATCTATTCGCCTTCCCAATTACGGATTCTGCCCCCCTGACATTGATTTTCTGCCGCTCTCAGCCGTGCTTTTCTGCCCGCCTGCACTCCATCCGTTTGGGGAGACGTTTCTCTGTTCAAGTCGTTTGTCATATATCCGTGATCCTTGTTTCGGCCGATGCGGCCAAACGCAAGCTCTGTTCTTCTTCACAACATTGTCTCAGTGGCTCATTGGGCTCCATACGCGTCCCTCGTGCCAATTGACTACTATGGTATCAGGCCAAAGTAAAATCCCCTGTCGAGTATCTGTGGCGCATTTGGTCGATTATCTAAGTAGAGGTACTCCGACCTGAACACGATGGGCTTCAGCCAGTCGAGCTGCCCAGGCCAGTGGGTCACTGCCCGCAAAAATATGGCCAGGAGTTCAACTTGCCCATACAACCATCGTAAGTCCCAGACAGAGCCCTCTGCCAATTCCGTCATGATCACGGCAACGGACCACATCTAGCATGAAGTCTACTTGGCCTTGGACTGAACATCTGTGTCAAGGCACGATGTAGCGTTTACGGTGCTTTGCTTACTGATTACTGGTGTCTCATTTTGCTCGTGTCTACTCCACCCGCATCTGCGTATGGAGTATACCGAACCTGACAAATGCTCTTTCATGTACCGTAATGAAGCTTTGGCAAGAACATATCTACCGAACGACGATAGAACCTAAATGTATCCCTAAAGGCATCTGAATTAGGGACTAGATACCAATAGAGCGAAGGGACGTGCTCTTCCAAGGCGCTTTGCAAGCTTGAGCCTGCTTTACCCAGCCTTAAAATCCCTTGGAAATGACGCTGGTGGCATACTGTACGTTGGCCTCTCACTGTGCTGCAGGGCGCCGCAGGAGGCTGGCCTCACGGGCCCAGTTTCAAAGCCAGATGACGCCAGCGAAGTAGACAATCTGAGTACCGAGTCTTGGCGTCCAAAGCAGCAACGCCTAAATCTGGGCGGCGACCGTTCGTTTCACGCTGCCATCCTCAGATCTTTCACATACGATGCCCATCCTCACCACACCTGGTTCACAACTCTAGCTGCATCGTTATTGCGCACGGTGTAGTTCTCACCCAGGACATCACAGTTTTTTCTGCCCCCAGATTCGGGTTACCATCAGATGGGTAAGAACGAACACCCACGGAAAGGAGTGGCGGGGAAATGCCACCCGGATCTCACTTGGCCCGGGCGTGACGCGTGGATGTGGGAGACCGTGATGGACAGCCGGGTGATTCACTGTGTCAAGCATCCTGTGGAGCCATCGGACTCCATGGTATCCAGCGCAACAGGTTGCGAGCTGGTTTGTAGCTATAATTGGAAAGCTAGCCAGGATCTGAAGATTCACGTACCCGGTGAGCCTCAAGTACCTGGGGACAATACTACATGACTGACTATCAGTAGGCTTTGCGGCGGTCTTGCAGCAGGTTTCCTTACCAATTACGGTGCCTGAAGATCAGGCTACGCGCTCGATGAATGACAGCACGGCGCGTATTCCTGAATGCTCTTTTGAGCCGCTGTTTCGCGCCACAGCATCGATGAACCCGTCATTCCGTTTTGACAAAGTCGACATTTTGGTGAATAGAAATAGTCTCAGAAAACTTCTGGACTTCTGCCAAGCGGGGCGACAAGACAGCTTTCGAATCAATCTGTACCTGGTTCACCGCAACCTGATTATCGAGCGTTGCGAGAAGACCGTCAGCAAGCTAATGGGCGGTTCGCAGAATTCTGGGTGGGGCCGGAATTTCGAGCGCACCCTCACTCGATACCCGTTGGGCTAGAAGACAGCACGGCGCATCACCGAGCTCTTCGATACCAGCTGAGAGACCTCACGTGTGTCGTGCGTTTTGAGGTAGATGCATGCTACGAGCGGAAGGTCGAGGAGGGCGGTACTTCACAATCGTTGGCACGCGCAATGAGTCGATTGCAGACCGATGATAGCCAAGGAAGGAATGCTTCTGCCAGCCAACAGCCAACACAACGAGTGCCGATGGCTCAAGCGAATGCCGCAGAAGTCAAGACAACAGCCAGACGCAAGAGCCCGGGGGCATAAATGCCGCAGCTTTGGTTCGGCAGAACGCCCTGGCTTATCCTCGGACAGCACACAGATGGAACCTTTGAAAACCTGAGAATCACCGACCGGCGGCTCTGTTTGCGGGTTGAGAGGAAACGCACCAACTCGAACTTCGCAAGTTGGCTGCGGTCTTGGCACAACTACGCGAGGCCGTCCGGGAGAACGGAGGCAAGTTTTGCATTGCGATCCATGAGAAAGCCACAGAGACGTGAACTATTAAAGTGTACCCTTCATGCGTTGCGAAAGAGGCTGTTCCGGAAAAATTGAAGGGCGACCTCTGGAGGTGACAGGGAGCGGTTTGCAAGACAGCGGTTCACTTACACCTTCATGAACTTAGCCATCTTCCTGCATTCTAGGAAGGGATGTCGAGCCTTGCCAGTACTCGCCCAAAGATCCATGCTTGTATTTCGGCTGTTTGCGGGAGGGGGCGTTTCGTACCGTAAAGTTGCGCTGGGTTGCTCATGCTATGGGGATGGCGGCAATCATGCCTCTTACCTGGTACGCCGAGAGCAATCAAACTAGAGGCCAAATATTGAGCAACTGCCGTACGGAGGTCGGCATGCTTGACGTAGGCTTCCACCTCTGCAGAAGGCTCCGCTAAATGAAAGGAAAGCGTCTCGGACTCGCGCTAGTCAAGCCTCACGAGCACGATCGCCTCGCCTGTCGTCAAGAGACCGTGCTCGAGTAAGCCTTCGATCGTATAGTGACAGGTCTGCGTGTGATGGCGGCTGCGGTGAGCCTCTCCGCGTGATACTGAAACCGTGCGTCTGGGTCAACCAACGTTGATATTGTCTTCCGGTCTACCACTTCCTCGTGTGTATTCATCGAGCACAGGTGCTGCGCAGGAAGTTGACGCAGTGATTTATGCTCGGGAATATTGAGCATCGAAGAGCTGCTCGAGTCGTCATCGTCTTCGATTCGGCAGACGCAGATCTAACGGTCCGTAACTGTTGGAGATCGACTTGCTATTGTGCGTTGTGGAGGGAGGTGTCGATGTGATTCGCGTTCGACGATCTCCGCCGCTGCGTCGCTGAGCGCATGCGGGTGGTTCTCGGAGACAAGTCCGTTGACTAAATCGAACGCACTTTGGACTTCTTTTGCCTTCTTGAGCTCGTCCATGATTGTTTTAACGGGGCCCTCGACGCTATATTTCGGAAAGCACTCGACGGCCTTCTCGTCAGTGGTCTTGCGCTTCGCGATCCTGCTTTCTCGGCCAGACAGGAACGATGTGCTCTCGAAACCGCGTCGGTCGGCGGGGAAGTGTAGTAGTGGGTGCCGAAGGCGATGCTCTGTTGGCGCGAAGTCGAGTTATGGGCGGAGATTGGCGAGACACAACCTGTTCCGCGGATTTGTGATGGAGCCCTAAGAAGTTAGTGTACGGTCTGTTTCGACGGTGAATTTGGCAGAAGCCAGGGAATGACAGGCAGGGATGTGTCCGTTGAGTGAAGTAGACTGGGTTTGTTGCTCTGCCGCCTCGGCGTGTTCTTGTTCTCTGTCAGCACGTTCTTACGCAGAAACTTGGCCAAATCCTCGGCACCTCTTGTTCGGCTCATGATGTCCCTGATTGATGTGGTTGATAAGGTGTGCATTAAGTCAATCGAAGGCTGGAAAGTGGTAGGAAAGTGTTTAGGCCAGCCTGTAGCGCAGAACGGATCTTGCTGTATCGCTGAGCAATCCCCAGCGTCCTTGTCAGCGGGTAAGCCGTCTTTCCACGAACTAGACCATCCAAAAAGGGGCGTCGTTGCACCGTAACTCACGTGCGCTCTGTACATACATGCGTGCGCAGAAAGGCCTGTTGACGCACGAGCCACATGCCTCGCCGGTCTGACGTAACCACATCATAGTCGTTTTGCCGACTTATATTCGTCGGCGCCTTTCTAGTATTGAGTGGAAGTAGAGATTTCTTCGGGTGTACCTGAGCATTTCAAGATCACCATGGTCAAATGATTCATACAGACTCAGCTGAAAGACTCGGACGGATCAATTGCTAGTATGTCTTGGCTAATGCATGAGCGAATGGGTCTCCATTCGTGTCTTCTAATCAACCGCGAAGCGGCATGAAACCAACAAAAAGCAATAAGTCAATTTGAAGTGCAGTAAGTATATTGCCCACTGCCTTTCCTATAGAGACAGCAAGCATCAGGGGACACGAGGAGAGCGACACACCGAGTATACACACCAATTCGGGCAATACAGTAGTAGATATACAAGGAGAATGGGGCATCATTGCAACTACAATCCTCCGCCGGACAGCTACATTGTCGCACTCAACCGCTACCCACGCCAGATTAACCTTTGACGTCGCATCGAGATATTCTTTCCGCATAGTCCAGTGGCGATCTTGTCACAGGAACCGGGTAGATCGTTTTCTTCCAAGCCTTAGCCTTAAAGGTAGCCTTGAAGGGCTATGATGTGATTGAACTTACCAACTCAGCGCGAGATTTAGGGAAATTGTGCTCATTGGAAGACGTGTATTCATAGAACCTGCTTTTGAAGCGGACTTGGACGTACACATCGGCCCCGTACCGTCGTCGGATCTGCTCACAACGCCACATGATGTTTTTGACTGCTTTGTCGCAGTTCTCGTTGGTTCTATCCCTTTTCTTTGGCTGCTGCTGACGAGAAGCCATGATTTTTTGGGTAAGGGCTGCGACAGTACCGTATTGTTGACGTACCATAAAGTAAAAAATGAGTCTGCTTCATCATCATCTCGTCGTTCTACTCTGCCCAATGCATCCCTTTTCAAGTAAGCATACCGCATGAACGCGTGAGGCACCAGGTGGCAGTGGAGCCGCATCTGAGTCTATTCTGTGATTGCTAGTTTCCTAAACTTTGTCGCAGCTTCTTCGCGAGGGCAGCCAAAATTGGCTTTTGATGCATCTGCTAGCGGGAAGAACGTGGAGTCACCACTTACGGATATTAGCAAGTAGGTTTGGACGCGGGTAGCCCGAATGACGGGATCCGACAGCCACCCGAGAGGTAGAACAAGAAGCCATACCCGTTGATGTAGGACCAATTGCATGTGACAGACAGTTATACGCACTTTGTTGCTGAACGGACAGAGCGTAGACAAAAGAGTCCACTTGAAACACCACAATGATGAGCTTTTCGTTTCTGACCATACGGCGCGAAGAAGCTTACCATCATTTGGAGGCGAGAGGGACTTTGATTGGAGCCGTCGACGAAAGCGAAAGAGGCATAACTCGGACTTTTTGTCGTCTGCTGTGAGTTACACGGCTGCTGACATTGCTAACCAAGCTCATATATCCGCACTCATGGTGTTTGCACCGGCCATTTTGAAAAGGAAGAACTTATCTAGGCGGCATATTGTATGTGCTGTATCGTATGATTCAAAGATACAATCAAACAATGCATCGCATGGCGACAACCCAAGACCAGAAAAGATGAGCGGAAGGCACAAAAGATGACGCATAAGCTCATGCTGACACACATACAAATCGAGCCAGAAAATCTAATACTGTATTATTTATATGCCCACCACGGATCGTACGGATAGGTTCTAAATCGGTGTGTATGTGGTGCATCATGAGCCTGGCAGACCAGACTATGAGCCTTTGAGAAGCCAGACAGGATTCAACGATTTATAAACATCCTCCCTTATCACCATAGTCGTGCGTGAAGTTGATAATGTCAAAATTCACATGTTGACGAGTCTGCGATCCTCACGAGAAGTTTGCATTCTCATATACGGGCCCATAGAACAGCCTTCCGCCAATCACTTGCCTTTGTCTTACTCTTCATGGAGCGCCTCGATGCGTGTCCATCATAAGGAGATCTGGCGATACAACTACAGCCACCACAATGACCTCATATGGTTGGTGAGTCTGGCCTAGGGATACCGCACTCGGCAGACCTCGCGTAAGGATCATTCGAGTTCCAGTCGAAAGAATTAGTAATAATCACGCCATCGCGGCTGGCTGTCCTGAGATGGAGCGAGCGTTGTGTGGAGGCTTTCCCGTAGACGTGTGCCACTCTATACGAAGACATTGCCTCGCTCTCCTTGGTTGGATGTCGAGCCGCTGCAGAGCAGACGGTCTTGATACCAGCCGCGATGTCTGGGGACGCTATGCTAGTCGGAAAGCTTGTTCCCCGATGCGAATCGCCTTGTACAAATCCCTTTTCCTTCTTGATACTGTCGCTGTCCTCATCGGAGTCGCAAAGGAGGAAGGTCGACACATGTTCTTGTGGAAGCCTCTGTCTGTGAGGCGTTTCACTTGATGAGGCGATTTTCAAAGGTGAGAATACTGAATGAAGCTTTGAACCCATGATGCGTGTAGACGTTCCCTTTGCAACACATGTTGACTGCGGCATGTTTGAGACCTACATATCACGAGTATGCAGATACTACTTCTACCCACCACAAGCAACAGGCGAATGGACGTGCGGTACAGTAGGTGCTGCATTTCATACTCAATTAAAAAAAACCCCTGTCGAGCGTGTCAGATGAGCATCATCTTTCAACCTAGATATGGAAGAGGTCTTGCTTGCGTTTCTACAGTAGAACTCGAAATCGGTTTCCGTCTTTGCGGGCAGAAATTGATCTGCGCACAAATGTTTATGGATCCATTTGCTGACAGGGCACATGACAGGGCCCCAACGATACCTTCTTGATGGACCCCGCAGCCGAAAACAGAATTTGCTCTCACACTGTGTTTGTGAACTAGGCCCATATTGCATAATCCAACATCCACAAACGGCGATGGCAAATTCAGTCTCTGCAGTACGTAGCATGGGTCTAAACTAAGAACACAGTAAAGAAACAATTCTGGCTTGACTGTGGAGGTAATCGGTGAATGTACTTCATGGGTCTCAGTATGTAGCCTGTCAGCAAAAGGATCCACAACATGTCCGTGCACAGATCAATTTCTACCCGCAAAGAGGAAACCGATTTCGATTTCTACTGTAGGCAGACCAGCCGCAAAGGGTTTCTAGCAATACCTGATGATTCGTATAGACAGAATGTACAGATATGGAGAAACTCTATTCGGGTTACGAAAGGCCAGATCTAGATCTTACAGATAAGGAATCAAGGAAGCAGGACCCTCGTAGGATGGCTGGGGAAAACGCCGGTTCCAACGCAGGATATGGCGCAAATTTTGAGTCATAAGCAACTTGGAACAAAGGGCGTCCGGTAATATAAGCGGTGTGTGGCTAGGGAGAATAGCTAGAACCGACTTCTGGTGAGGGCCGAAAGTGGATGCTATAGATGGGCTAGCCGGCAAGCGAGATCCTTGTTTTGACGCCAGGAACGACCTGCAACAAGAAAGTGGCAGCACCTTTTCAACTTGATTCCTGGATTTCGACCTCTAGGTATGTGGGTAGGAATCGGAACCTTAATGCACAAGAGGAAGGCATTTCGGTACAAAGGCCCTTGATTAAGTTTCTGAGAATGCATAATCCCGGCCCTTAGGCGTCGACGCGGGCTGTTGGAAAGAGCCCAGTGTGAATCCCGCAGAAACGATGTAATGGTGGGTGAAAGCGTTTTATTTCTTGCTGGAGGTTCCGGTAGAAATACAGAATCGATTATACAGTGTGTTGCTTCCTCTCTATAACACACTTGATCTGTTTGAACTTGACCCACACAGTCTGGGCTCAACATCATCTCTCCTGTGTACAAGCCACCGTCATCTGTAGCAGGAGAATATGGCTACTGTGGAAACCGATCATGGATATTTACAAGGAGCTTTTGATCACGCGCTGCCACTCGCACTGTCGTTTACTATCCTGACCCACACTTTTGTTTGCAAACCAGTCGTTACAGCCATTACCAAAGGTTTGCGGAGGTCCATTATCCCAGTTTCCGGCTTCTCAAACATTGAGATGGTTTGCGAGAGAGGGAGCAACATGTGCACAATACTGTATGGTGAAGGCCTATTTGGTATCCATCGGTCTTGCGAGGACTAGGCGTCCAAAGGCGACGTGAACACCATTTGTACGCGCGCTATCCTCGTCCACCCAGACCGGAGCCATAACAACCTTTTCGAATAGCCCAGCATTCTGAAGCCATCTTCAGCTTGTGTCCAGAAAACCAGAGACCGCTTGCGAAGGACAGTACTGTCCACATAGAGGATGAACGAGATGCCTTCTTCATAACCAAAAGAAGCACCTTAGCGCCTGAATAGCAGAACTCAAGACCTTTCTTGAACGAGATGGTCAACTCCGGATCTGCAGTGTATGTATGAGATACTTCTGGCGTAAAGCGCCGTCCCACGGGACGAAGTCTGAATTCTTGTATTGGATATGAGGCCGGCAAGCCTACAGCAACAGCGTGACTACCTCGTTTTCTTGCTATGCCGTGCTTTCGTCGCAGGTCGCATCGTGCCTCTCAGTACAACAGACGTCACTCGCTATGAAGTCTATTCATGCAGAGCCGATATCTCTAGACGTGGCGTGGCATGTCTTCAATCACAGCGAGCCCCATGACCAGTCCGTATTCGCACAATGCTCGCGCACTTGGCATTCGTTCTTCAACCCCAAGCTTTACCGAAACGATGTGAAAACGGGAAAATACTCCGCCGTTTTCAGCACCATTACCAACTGTAGAGATACGCGGGTGGCTCTCGCCACTCTCCGGCATACCTTCCAAGCCGGCGCTGACTACAACAGGCCGGCCACCATGTACATGACCGAGAGCCATCGATACAGCCCTTTCCTCGTTACGGCCCTATATCTGGCCGCTTCGAAAGGCTATGCTGACATTGTGTCGTTTCTCCTTGACCACGGTGCCGATATCGATGGGGTCCCGGACTGCCGGCTACGTACTCCCGTCTTTCTATCTCTTCTCAGCGGGGACGCCAAGACGTCCATGATTCTCCTTCGGCGCGGCGCACGGCTTGAGTCTTCCGAGTTTGGAATTAACGCCCTCCACCAAGCCGCCGCCGCCGGGCTCACCGAAGTGATCACGTACCTTGTCGACGAGAAAGGGATGGAAGTGAACGAGGCCGACAACAACGGGGACACGCCGCTGATTCACTCCCTGTTGTCTCCGTCGCCAGAAACGGTCATCGGTCAGCTGGCACAGTTCGGCGTCGACGTGAACCAGCCTACGACGATCGACACATGGCGCATGACGGCCCTCAGCATGGCGTGTGAGGACGGCATGTTCTCCGCCGCTCTGGCACTGCTGAAGGCTGGAGCAGACGCCACGGGCGAGCTGGACGGCTTGGTCGAGGGGGCCGACCCGGCGCTTCGTATATTTGACCAAAAGCCGCTCGAGCTAGCGCTCCTGGCTCGGGTCAAAGAAACGGATGGCAGGACGGCATCGGCGAAGCAACGGCTCATCGACCTCCTCCTTCAATCAGGCGCTGACCCAAACCAAGCGGTTTGCATATCGGCACGCTGCAACTGGACAGGACCCCTCTTGCTGAAGCTGGCTCGAGAGCGGCGCCGTTGGGAGGCCGAGATGCTGCTTTCTTCGGGTCTCGTAGACATCGACAAGCGCGACTCGCACGGTTCGACGAGTCTCGACTGGGCACTTTCCACATGTCACGGCAACCCCGTGATGGCGTCGATCTTGCTGCGGCGCGGTGCCAAGATGGACGATGCCGTGTTGTGCGACATCGTCAGCAAGCTGGCGCGTCTTGCGGACGCACAAGACCACTGGAGTGTG